GTCGCCGCCGCGAAACGGATCGCTCCCCACCATTTTGTGTCGATGTAGCGTCGATGTAGCGTCGATGTGGTGCAGCCTTGCTGGCTCCCGCAACAAAACCAGTTCTACCGATGCGCTCCGCCATTTCCACTTTCGTCGGCTTCGCTTCAGAAGCGTTTCCACCTGCTGCCGGCACCGACACCGTCGCGACGCTGCCGCAGCCAAATCCGAAGAGAAAGAACGCGTTCTTTCTACCTTGAACCGGCTGGCCGAAATTCAAACGAGAATGCCGGTTGCCTCCGGTTCCAACGCACGGTTTAACCTCACGACTCGGCCTGCATACAGTCGCCAATATATTTCACTTACTTTAGGAAAATATGGCTATCGAGAGCGAAAAAGCCATTTACTTGTTTACTTCAAGTCTTTACTTCATTTTTAGCGATTTCTGGAAGTTTGGACACTTGGGGATGGGTTGGAATCATGGACTATGAAGTGTATGGGTGTGGGTCTATGAATTTGGTAGTTTGGGAGCTTGAGGACTTAGGTGTTTGATGATGTTGACATTTGGGTGATGGATATTTTGAGAAATTTGGGGACGTTAGGAAATGGACACTTAGGATTTTGAATACTTTGTAATTTGGGGATCTGATACTCACATACAAATACACACAAAAAAAGCTTCTTGTCAGAGCCATATAAGAGGCATATGATGCGCAAAATCTGTCCAGCAACCTCTCCGAGGTGCATATCGGGTAATGCTAATGCCGGCGGTATATGCTATAAACGCAAGGGTTTCTTTAAAGTTCTGTATCTTTACGAAAAAAAATGGTAGCGGTTTTTCACATACTGGAAATTAAAGATAAAGGTTTGGATTTTATGCTCCTGTAAACAGTATCACCTAAAAAAAATGTGTCAAGTCCATGCATTTCGTCAAACTTTGTAATTTTCAATATTGCAAACATTACTTCACATTTACGGTGTTATTGTGGTAGGGATACATCAAATCTAAAATAATACTACAGGGTCTTAAAGTAGAGATCGCAAGCTTTAATTTAAAAAAATGAGCATAAATTTGCAATGAGTTTTCACGGAGTTATCATCAGTCAAATTTGGCCAATTTTTGCCTAAAATTTTTCTATGCCATATTTTTTTTGAGCAGTGTATATAGATAATGTCCATTCTGTACAGTGCTGAGTTTTTTTTATTCAAAACGTTTAGCAAAAGTTTGATTTTTAAATTAGTCTAAGTTTGTTTAAATTAATTTTTGTGAATTATAATTTGTATGGTTTTTAATCGCTATAAACTGTGTTCAGAGTATGTTGTTGATTGATACAGCGTCAGATTTACTTTAATTTTAATTTCAATTAAATTTAATCTCCTCAAGAGTTATCATCCTTTAATGATACGCTGATAAACGCAAAATATTGCGTTCAACTCTTGCAAATGTGTTTATTCTGCAATTTTCTGATTACGTTGAATTTAATTTATGGTATGAAGTATGAATGAACAATTTAATTAATTAACATTGCAATTAACATCTGTCTGTGGTCTTCAATCATTTTATTAATAACAAGTATGATGCTTACTTTTGAACATTTAAATTTCTGGAGAATCTGTTGCATTAAAGTGAACTATAATTTCTATTGAATAAATTTTAGTAGTTATCATAATATTTTATTATTGATTTGTCGTCGATTACCACTCTTACATTATTTTATATTCCAATGCTCATTAATCATACATATTTGTTAACTTAAAAATAAAAAATTACAAAAAGATAATTCAAATCTATTCATTCATTTCGGTTCATTTTGAAATCTAACTAACCTAACTTGACATCTAGCTGTCGCAGTAAAAGTTACTTATTAATTCAACACGTTTACGTGTTCGAACTGAAGGTAAAATTCGAGACGAAAATATTCAGTTATATTTAACTTACGTACTTCTTTTCATATCATATAACAAAGAAGATATAATTTTTGGTTAGAAAATAACTGAGCATAAATCATGCGATCGGAGTAAGGTCAAAATTCGCTATCGTCCAAATAATTACGCCCGATACGTGTTACTTTCCTTTTTTAAATTCTTATCAGTCACGATTGTATCGTTTGCAAGTACTTCTTGCTCGGTTACGAATAAACAAACTTTTTATCGATGTTTAGTTACTACTGTTTGCGAAATGTTGCTGCATCGTTAAGATTATTCATTTCTCCGCGAACCGCTCGAGCTGATGAGATTCTGTTTAAAAGTACGAACCAGATCGTGAGAAGCGTCCTGGGAAAGTAGAATACCGGTGAGAGGGTTAAATAAAATCGTGTTAACGCGCATTCCTCGTTCACAATTAGACAGGATACCTATGCAAATTACAAACTCTTTGTTTCGGGTTAAGAGTTTGTCAAGAGGCTTGTTAACGAAAATGTAGTTAGACTAATTGAAATATGCTGGTTTTGTTCAACGAGGACTTTTAGATCTTCAATTTCTTGTTAGGGAACAAAAGAGAAATTTTAGCTTTTTGCTACTTTTTCTTTAAGAATCATATCTTTTTTGAGATGTTCAATGCTTTCATTTCACTTTATTTAGGAATATTGGTAAATATTAACAAGTTAAATGTTGTCAAGTTTAAATGTTAAATATTAAATATTAGCAAGTTTAAATATTAGTAAAATATTAATTTTATTAAGTTAAATATTAATATTTATCAAGTTTAAACACTAAATATTAAATAATAGCAAATTTAAATATTAAACATTAAATATTAACATGCTTAAATGTTACATATTAAATATTGACAAGCTTAAATATTAGTTAAATATTGATTACGTTAAGATAAATAGTAACAAGACAAACATTATTAAGTTTAAATATTAAATTTTTAGTATTAATAAGTTAATATACTAGCTAAATATTAATTATGTTAAGTTAAATATTGACAAGTTAAGTAATATCAAGTTTAAAGGTTACATATTAAATATTAGTTAAATATTGATTACGTTAAGGTAAATATTAACAAGACAAACATTATTAAGTTTAAATATTAAATTTTCAGTATTAATAAGTTAATATACTAGCTAAATATTAATTATGTTAAGTTAAATATTAACATCGTTAAATATTAACAAGCCAAATTTTATCAAGTTTAAATATGAAATATTAAATATTAAATATTAATCAGTACAAATATTAGTTAAATACTAATTACGTTAAGTTAAATATTAATATCGTTAAATAACAACTTGTAATAAAAATAACACCAGTCACATAATCAATAATTCTTAAATACATTTTTCAATAAAATCCAATAATTTAAAAGTATATAAACTCATAAACTTCAATCACAAAATTCCAGAAATGGCTCTCTCACTCAAAAATAATAAATGTCTACACTCACAATAATTAAATAAACAAAAAAATATTATAATAACAATTTTGTTGAAGATGAATGCATTAAATTAATAAATACAACAGAACTATAATCATCGTAAAATAAAGCACAAATTCACTTAACACCGGTAAATGTACCGTGAGGTCTAAAATATTTGGAGTTTTGTCTGTTACCTCTATTATTAAATTCTGAATCATTTAGTCGTATAGCAAGAATATCCGCAATGATCCAAGTTCTCGTTTGGGCGAGTATTAAAAGCCGCGTTCGGTTTCAGTAATCAAATGCATGATACAAAAGAAATTTAATACTATAGGACAACGCTTTTCGTTTTAACAAACTGTTGAAATAATCGAGATCACCGTACATTTTAATGAATAACTAATTTATTTCAAACTTTGAGCTTGAATTCAAGCTATTGAATTCTACTTGAAAATGTCGTAGAATGGTTATTTAGAACTAATGTACGATTTAAATGTTAATATAGCGAATTTATGTTTATTCATTTTATTAATCACATTCTTATTGTTAATCGTGACTTTAATTTACTGTATGTTTCTATATAATAAATATATATGTTTAATAGAATTTTTATAAATCTCAAATAAAATTTTACGAATTCCATACATAATAGAATTTTACAGATTTCCAAATTTAAATATCTTCGATGCTCAATTCTGTAAATCTGAGAATTTTTAAATTTCACAACTTGTTAACTAAAAAATGTTAGAATTCAAGGAAACATCATTTCTAAATTTCTGAGTTCTCACATTTTGGAAGTTCGAAAGTCCTTTCACTCTATAATAATTTAAAAATTTTCAAGTTTTTAAGTTTTCAAGTTTACAGGTTTTTAAGTCCTCAAGTTTTCAAGTTTCCAAGTTTCCAAGTTTTCAAGTTTTCTGGTTTTCAAATTCTCAAGTTTTCAAGTTCTCAAGTTCTCAAGTTCTCAAGTATTCAAGTATTCAAATATTCAGGTATTCAGGCATTCAAGTATTCAAGCATTCAGGTATTCAAGTATTCAAGAATTCAGGTATTCAAGTATTCAAGAATTCAGGTATACAATTATTCAAGTATTCAAGTATTCAAGTATTCAAGAATTCAAGTATTCAAATATTCAAGTATTCAAATATTCAGGTATTCAGGCATTCAAGTATTCAAGCATTCAGGTATTCAAGTATTCAAGAATTCAGGTATACAATTATTCAAGTATTCAAGTATTCAAGTATTCAAGAATTCAAGTATTCAAGAATTCAAGTATTCAAATATTCAAGTATTCAAATATTCAGGTATTCAGGCATTCAAGTATTCAAGCATTCAGGTATTCAAGTATTCAAGAATTCAAGTATTCAAGTATTCAAGTATTCAAGTATTCAAGTATTCAAGAATTTAAGTCAAGAATTCAAGAATTCAAGAATTCAAGAATTCAAGAATTCAAGAATTCAAGAATTCAAGAATTCAAGAATTCAAGAATTCAAGAATTCAAGAATTCAAGAATTCAAGAAT